GGCTCACTCTGGGGTCTCTCTTTCTCTCTGCAGGCTCACTCTGGGGTCTCTCTTTCTCTCTGCAGGCTTACTCTGGGGTCTCTCTTTCTCTCTGCAGGCTCACTCTGGGGTCTCTCTTTCTCTCTGTAGGCTCACTCTGGGGTCTCTCTCTTTGGGGTCTCTCTCCGCAGGCTCACTCTGGGGTCTCTCTTTCTCCGGGCTCACTCTCTTTTCTCCGCAGGCTCACTCTGGGTTCTCTCTCTTTCTCCGCAGGCTCACTCTGGGGTCTCTCTCTTTCTGGGGTCTCTCCGCAGGCTCACTCTAGGGTCTCTCTTTCTTTTTCTCCGCAGGCTCACTCTGGGGTCTCTCTTTCTCTCCGCAGGCTCACTCTGGGGTCTCTCTTTCTCCGCAGGCAGGCTCACTCTGGGGTCTCTCTTTCTCTCCGCAGGCTCACTCTGGGGTTCTCTCTTTCTCTGCAGGCTCACTCTGGGGTCTCTCTTTCTCCGCAGGCTCACTCTGGGGTCTCTCTTTCTCCGCAGGCTCACTCTGGGGTCTCTCTTTCTCCGCAGGCTCACTCCGGGGTCTCTCTTTCTCTCCGCAGGCTCACTCTAGGGTTCTCTCTTTTTCTCCGCAGGCTCACTCTGGGGTCTCTCTTTCTCTGCAAGCTCACTCTGGGGTCTCTCTTTCTCCGCAGGCTCACTCTGGGGTCTCTCTTTCTCCGCAGGCTCACTCTGGGGTCTCTCTTTCTCCGCAGGCTCACTCCGGGGTCTCTCTTTCTCTCCGCAGGCTCACTCTAGGGTTCTCTCTTTTTCTCCGCAGGCTCACTCTGGGGTCTCTCTTTCTCTCTGCAGGCTCACTCTGGGGTTCTCTCTTTCTCCGCAGGCTCACTCTGGGGTTCTCTCTTTCTCTGCAGGCTCACTCTGGGGTCTCTCTTTCTCTCCGCAGGCTCACTCTGGGGTCTCTTTTTCTCTGCAGGCTCACTCTGGGGTCTCTCTTTCTCTCCGCAGGCTCACTCTGGGGTTCTCTCTTTCTCTCCGCAGGCTCACTCTGGGGTCTCTCTTTCTCTGCAGGCTCACTCTGGGGTCTCTCTTTCTCCGCAGGCTCACTCCGGGGTCTCTCTTTCTCTCCGCAGGCTCACTCTAGGGTTCTCTCTTTTTCTCCGCAGGCTCACTCTGGGGTCTCTCTTTCTCTCTGCAGGCTCACTCTGGGGTCTCTCTTTCTCTCCGCAGGCTCACTCTGGGGTCTCTCTTTCTCTCCGCAGGCTCACTCTGGGGTTCTCTCTTTCTCTGCAGGCTCACTCTGGGGTCTCTCTTTCTCCGCAGGCTCACTCTGGGGTCTCTCTTTCTCCGCAGGCTCACTCTGGGGTCTCTCTTTCTCCGCAGGCTCACTCCGGGGTCTCTCTTTCTCTCCGCAGGCTCACTCTAGGGTTCTCTCTTTTTCTCCGCAGGCTCACTCTGGGGTCTCTCTTTCTCTGCAAGCTCACTCTGGGGTCTCTCTTTCTCCGCAGGCTCACTCTGGGGTCTCTCTTTCTCCCGCAGGCTCACTCTGGGGTCTCTCTTTCTCCGCAGGCTCACTCCGGGGTCTCTCTTTCTCTCCGCAGGCTCAATCTAGGGTTCTCTCTTTTTCTCCGCAGGCTCACTCTGGGGTCTCTCTTTCTCTCTGCAGGCTCACTCTGGGGTTCTCTCTTTCTCCGCAGGCTCACTCTGGGGTTCTCTCTTTCTCTGCAGGCTCACTCTGGGGTCTCTCTTTCTCTCCGCAGGCTCACTCTGGGGTCTCTTTTTCTCTGCAGGCTCACTCTGGGGTCTCTCTTTCTCTCCGCAGGCTCACTCTGGGGTTCTCTCTTTCTCTCCGCAGGCTCACTCTGGGGTCTCTCTTTCTCTGCAGGCTCACTCTGGGGTCTCTCTTTCTCTGCAGGCTCACTCTGGGGTCTCTCTTTCTCTGCAGTCTCTCTGAGGTCTCTCTTCCTCTCTAGTCTTTTTCCGGGGACTCACTTTGTATCTGGTCTCTCTCTTCCTCTCAGTCTCTCACATGGACTGTCATCGCCTCAGTCTAACTAACTTATTATAACTTGTTATAATACAAATGTGTATTAGCATGTTTAGCATGTTTAGCATTAGCATGTTTAGCATGTTTAGCATTAGCATGTTTAGCATTAGCATGTTTAGCATGTTTGGCATGTTTAGCATGTTTGGCATGTTTAGCATGTTTAGTATGTTTGGCATGTTTAGCATGTTTAGCATGTTTAGCATTAGCATGTTTAGCATGTTTAGCATTAGCATGTTTAGCATGTTTAGCATTAGCATGTTTAGCAGACACAGGCTGCCGCTCACTATCGTTGAACAGTAACGTGTAAAACCCACATACAGTAAAAAGCACTGATATTGAGCATCATTGTGTGAAACCTCTGTTCTCTACCGTCCGCTGCTTTAACACGGTCTGCCGCCGCCACCGCAGCCACCGCCGCCACCGCCGCCACCGCCGCCACCGCCGCCACCGCCGCCATTATCACTGGGTCACGGTGACAAAGCCACTGTAAACACAGGTCTCTTTAATAATCTACAGAAGTCATGAATCAGGGTCAAACTGCTCATGGCTCTGAGATGTGGCTTGGGCCTCACAGCTGAAGGTCTGTCTGTGTGGAGTTTGCATGTTCTCCCTGTGTCTGTCAGATGATGTCACACCTGGAGCAGCTGCAAATGAACAGTGTGTGTCGTCAGGGATCACACAACAGTCACACAACATCTGTCAAGGCAACCTCCTCCTCTGAGACACACACACATATACACACACACATACATACACACACATGCACACATATACACATGCACACACACACAGACACACACATGCATACACATGCACACATATACACATGCACACACACACAGATGCACGCGTACACACAAAAACACACATGCACATCAGACACGCATATACACTGACACACGTCACACAACATCCGTCAAAGCAACCTCCTCCTCTGAGACACACACACACACGTACACACACTCGTACACACACACATACATACACACACACACACACTCACACATACACACACACACACACATACACACACACACACACACACACACACACACACACATACACACACACACACAGTTCAGTTCAATGGTTTGTTCTGAAGCAGCATCGAGTCCAAGTGTCTCTGAAACTGTTGTTTTGTGTTTTATAATTTTATCTTAATTTCTCAACAAAACAAAAAATACATTGTCCATGGTTTTACACTGGTCCATGCCAGAGCAGAGAGGATTCATGGTTTTACACTGGTCCAGACCAGAGCAGAGAGGATTCATGGTTTTACACTGGTCCAGACCAGAGCAGAGAGGATTCATGGTTTTACACTGGTCCAGACCAGAGCAGAGAGGATTCATGGTTTACACTGGTCTAGACCAGAGCAGAGAGGATTCATGGTGCGTCTGCAGAGTTTACTTTATACAGAGTTATTGTCGTTTCTTTCTTTGTTCTAAAAGTATTTTCTCATTGTTTAAAAACTGGAAACTTCTCGACACAAAAGTGTGAAAAAACATCTTTTTCCTGTTTCCTTGTGGTTAATGTCTCCGCCTCGTTAGAGCTCTCACTTTAGAGCTCTCACTTTAGAGCTCTCACTTTAGAGCTCTCACTTTAGAGCTCTCACTTTAGAGCTGTTCCTCCTGTGATGGTGCAAACTGATTTAATTAAGTGGCACCACAAATTTATCCAGTTTTCGACCCGACTTCTTTCACTTTGAATTAATTGCGTCACATTTAATCGTCTTTGTCACATTTTTAATTTGGATAAAACAAGACTTTGGGGAAAAAAAGTTGGAGCCAGTTTCTTCCAGAATCACAACTTTTAGGTCAAATGACTTTATATCATTCACCTGACTCTAAGACACACACACACACACAGACAAGGCAAGGCAAGGCAAGTTTATTTGTATAGCACAATTCATACACAAGGCAACTCAAAGTGCTGAACAAAACAAGAAAGCATTAAAATCATAAATTATCACAGAACATTAAAAAGAAAGATAAAAATATAAAATCCCTCAGTTGTATGCACAGTTAAACAGAACCGTCTTTAACCTGGTTTTAAACATTGTCAGAGAGGAGGCCTGTCTCACATCTTCAGGAAGACTGTTCCAGATTTTAGCATGAATCTGAAAAGCAGCCTCCCCATGTTTAGTTCTGACTCTGGGCACTAACAGGAGTCCAGTCCCTGTGCTCCTCAGAGTCCCAGCAGGAGTCCAGTCCCTGTGCTCCTCAGAGTCCCAGCAGGAGTCCAGTCCCTGTGCTCCTCAGAGTCCCAGCAGGAGTCCAGTCCCTGTGCTCCTCAGAGTCCCAGCAGGAGTCCAGTCCCTGTGCTCCTCAGAGTCCCAGCAGGAGTCCAGTCCCTGTGCTCCTCAGAGTTCCGGGCTGGTTCATATGGGACTAACATGTCACTAATATATTTTGGTGCGAGGCCATGGAGAGACTTGTAACAAGCAGAGCTGTTTTAAAGTCTATTCTCTGAGCCACAGGAAGCCAGTGCAGAGACCTGAGGACCGGACTAATGTGGTCGTACACACAGAGACACACACACACACACACACACACACACACACACACACACACACACACACACACAGACACACACACACAGAGGAGGGTGAGGAGGTGGGGGAGGAGGAGGGGTGAGGAGGTGAGAAACTTCAAAGTCCAGCAGCGACAGAGGAGGCAGGGAGTGAGGGAGAGCGGAGATAAGCGACACATGCAGCAGAAGGACAGAGGTTCAGTGAAAATACAGTCTCAGTAATAAACATGAATTTAACATGAATTAAACATGAATTTGACATGAATTTAACATGAATTTAACATGAATTTGACATGAATTTGAACGTACTTTTCTGGTCCATTTCTCTGCACAAACGAGTGAATCCATTTGTGTTAGATCTCTGACCTGAGGATATGTTTGGTTCTGGTTTGTTTCCTGTTCTTCCAATTCATGTTTATTTATAGGGAACATTTTACAGAACGAAGTCACCCAAAGTGACGACCAGGTGAGAGACGATGGTACGACCAGGTGAGAGACGATGGTACGACCAGGTGAGAGACGATGGTACGACCAGGTGAGAGACGATGGTACGACCAGGTGAGAGACGATGGTACGACCAGGTGAGAGACGATGGTACGACCAGGTGAGAGACGCTGGTACGACCAGGTGAGAGACGATGGTACGACCAGGTGAGAGACGATGGTAACGACCAGGTGAGAGACGATGGTACGACCAGGTGAGAGACGATGGTACGACCAGGTGAGAGACGATGGTACGACCAGGTGAGAGACGATGGTACGACCAGGTGAGAGACGATGGTTACGGCCAGGTGAGAGACGATGGTACGACCAGGTGAGAGACGATGGTACGACCAGGTGACGATGGTACGACCTGGTGAGAGACGATGGTACAACCAGGTGAGAGACGATGGTACGACCAGGTGAGAGACGATGGTTACGACCAGGTGAGAGACGATGGTACGACCAGGTGAGAGACGATGGTACGACCAGGTGAGAGACGATGGTACGACCAGGTGAGAGACGATGGTACGACCAGGTGAGAGACGATGGTACGACCAGGTGAGAGACGATGGTTACAACCAGGTGAGAGACGATGGTACGACCAGGTGAGAGACGATGGTACGACCGGGTGAGAGACGATGGTACGACCAGGTGAGAGACGATGGTACGACCAGGTGAGAGACGATGGTACGACCTGGTGAGAGACGATGGTACGACCGGGTGAGAGACGATGGTACGACCAGGTGAGAGACGATGGTACGACCAGGTGAGAGACGATGGTACGACCAGGTGAGAGACGATGGTACGACCTGGTGAGAGACGATGGTACGACCGGGTGAGAGACGATGGTACGACCGGGTGAGAGACGATGGTACGACCGGGTGAGAGACGATGGTACAACCGGGTGAGAGACGATGGTACGACCGGGTGAGAGACGATGGTACGACCAGGTGAGAGACGATGGTACGACCAGGTGAGAGACGATGGTACGACCAGGTGAGAGACGATGGTACGACCAGGTGAGAGACGATGGTACGACCTGGTGAGAGACGATGGTACGACAGGGTGAGAGACTATGGTACGACCGGGTGAGAGACGATGGTACGACCGGGTGAGAGACGATGGTACGACCGGGTGAGAGACGATGGTACCACCAGGTGAGAGACGTGTAGGTGAGACGATGGTTACAACCAGGGTGTGAGAGACGATGGTACGACCAGGTGAGAGACGATGGTACGACCAGGTGAGAGACGATGGTACGACCAGGTGAGAGACGATGGTACGACCAGGTGAGAGACGATGGTACGACCAGGTGAGAGATGATGGTACGACCGGTGAGAGACGATGGTACGACCGGGTGAGAGACTATGGTACGATGAGAGACGATGGTACGACCGGGTGAGAGACGATGGTACGAACGGGTGAGAGACGATGGTACGACCGGGTGAGAGACGATGGTACCACCAGGTGAGAGACGATGGTTACGACCAGGTGAGAGACGATGGTACGACCAGGTGAGAGACGATGGTACGACCAGGTGAGAGACGATGGTACGACCAGGTGAGAGACGATGGTACGACCAGGTGAGAGACGATGGTACGACCAGGTGAGAGACGATGGTACGACCAGGTGAGAGACGATGGTACGACCTGGTGAGAGACGATGGTACGACCGGGTGAGAGACTATGGTACGACCGGGTGAGAGACGATGGTACGACCGGGTGAGAGACGATGGTACCACCAGGTGAGAGACGATGGTTACGACCAGGTGAGAGACGATGGTACGACCAGGTGAGAGACGATGGTACGACCAGGTGAGAGACGATGGTACGACCAGGTGAGAGACGATGGTTACGACCAGGTGAGAGACGATGGTACGACCAGGTGAGAGACGATGGTACGACCAGGTGACGATACGATGGTACAACCAGGTGAGAGACGATGGTACGACCAGGTGAGAGACGATGGTTACGACCAGGTGAGAGACGATGGTACGACCAGGTGAGAGACGATGGTACGACCAGGTGAGAGACGATGGTACGACCAGGTGAGAGACGATGGTACGACCAGGTGAGAGACGATGGTACGACCAGGTGAGAGACGATGGTTACGACCAGGTGAGAGACGATGGTACGACCAGGTGAGAGACGATGGTACAACCGGGTGAGAGACGATGGTACGACCAGGTGAGAGACGATGGTACGACCAGGTGAGAGACGATGGTACGACCTGGTGAGAGACGATGGTACGACCGGGTGAGAGACGATGGTACGACCAGGTGAGAGACGATGGTACGACCAGGTGAGAGACGATGGTACGACCAGGTGAGAGACGATGGTACGACCTGGTGAGAGACGATGGTACGACCGGGTGGGAGACGATGGTACGACCGGGTGAGAGACGATGGTACCACCAGGTGAGAGATGATGGTACGACCAGGTGAGAGACGATGGTACGACCGGGTGAGAGACGATGGTACCACCAGGTGAGAGACGATGGTACGACCAGGTGAGAGACGATGGTACCACCAGGTGAGAGACGATGGCACGACCAGGTGAGAGACGATGGTACGACCGGGTGAGAGACGATGGTACGACTGGGTGAGAGACGATGGTACGACCGGGTGAGAGACGATGGTACGACCGGGTGAGAGACGATGGTACGACCAGGTGAGAGACGATGGTACGACCGGGTGAGAGACGATGGTACGACCAGGTGAGAGACAATAGTACGACCAGGTGAGAGACGATGGTACGACCAGGTGAGAGACGATGGTACGACCAGGTGAGAGACGATGGTACGACCAGGTGAGAGACGATGGTACGACCAGGTGAGAGACGATGGTACTGCAGGTGTTCGGTCAGGACAATGGATGGTCTCCTCGGCCTGACAGAGACATACTCTTCATGTTTATCCAAGACACAGGTGAAGATGAAGAGATCCTTTACTGGTCCTACAGCAGGGAAATTTCAGTGTTGCATCGCTACGCAACAGTAGAATGAGGAAAACACAGCACAAGATAAATGACAATAACTCTGTGTTAAAATAACATAAATCTCTAACTTTATCCGTCTATAGCCTTCCACAGTTCAACAAGAATGAAAGTTTTCTTTGACGTGACCATGTTTACACATTACCAGCAACACCATCAACACTAGAGTCCATTATAATCATTGGAAATCAGTTTAAGGCCCACTGGGGTTTGGCACAGGTCAGTGACTGTTTCTGTGTCTCATGGTCTCTCTCTGGTCTCTCTCTGGTCTCTCTCTGGTCTCTCTCTGGTCTCTCCCTCTGGTCTCTCCCTCTGGTCTCTCTCTCTGGTCTCTTTCTGGTCTCTCTCTGGTCTCTCTCTGGTCTCTCTCTCTCGGGCCTCTCTCTGGTCTCTCTCTGGTCTCTCTCTGGCCTCCCGCTGGTCTCTCTCTCTCTGGTCTCTCTCTGATTACTCTCTGGCCTCCCGCTGGTCTCTCTCTGGTCTCTCTCTGGTCTCTCTGGTCTCTCTCTGGCCTCCCGCTGGTCTCTCTCTCTGGTCTCTTTCCGGCCTCCCGCTGGTCTCTCTCTGGTCTCTCTCTGGTCTCTCTCTGGTCTCTCTCTGGCCTCCCGCTGGTCTCTCTCTGGCCTCCCGCTGGTCTCTCTCTGGTCTCTCTCTGGTCTCTCTCTGGTCTCTCTTTGGTCTCTCTCTGGTCTCTCTCTGGTCTCTCTCTGGTCTCTCTCTCTGGTCTCTCTCTGGTCTCTCTGGTCTCTCTCTGGTCTCTCTCTGGTCTCTCTCTGGTCTCTCTCTGGTCTCTCTTTGGTCTCTCTCTCTGGTCTCTCTCTCTGGTCTCTCTCTGGTCTCTCTGTGGTCTCTCTCTGGTCTCTCTCTGGTCTCTCTCTGGTCTCTCTCTGGTCTCTCTTTGGTCTCTCTCTCTGGTCTCTCTCTCTGGTCTCTCTCTGGTCTCTCTCTGGTCTCTCTGGTCTCTCTCTGGTCTCTCTCTGGTCTCTCTCTGGTCTCTCTCTGGTCACTCTCTCTTGTCTCTCTTTGGTCTCTCTCTCTGGTCTCTCTCTCTCTCTGGTCTCTCTCTGGTCTCTCTGTTCTCTCTCTCTCTGGTCTCTCACTCTCTCTGGTCTCTCTCTGGTCTCTCTGGTCTCTCTTTGGTCTCTCTCTCTGGTCTCTCTCTCTGGTCTCTCTCTGGTCTCTCTCTGGTCTCTCTTTGGTCTCTCTCTCTGGTCTCTCTCTCTGGTCTCTCTCTGGTCTCTCTGTGGTCTCTCTGGTCTCTCTCTGGTCTCTCTCTCTGGTCTCTCTCTCTCTGGTCTCTCTCTGGTCTCTCTCTGGTCTCTCTCTCTGGTCTCTCTCTGGTCTCTCTCTGGTCTCTCTGGTCTCTCTCTGGTCTCTCTCTGGTCTCTCTCTGGTCTCTCTCTGGTCACTCTCTCTTGTCTCTCTTTGGTCTCTCTCTCTGGTCTCTCTCTCTCTGGTCTCTCACTGGTCTCTCTGGTCTCTCTCTGGTCTCTCTCTGGTCTCTCTCTGGTCTCTCTGGTCTCTCTCTGGTCTCTCTCTGGTCTCTCTCTGGTCTCTCTCTGGTCACTCTCTCTTGTCTCTCTTTGGTCTCTCTCTCTGGTCTCTCTCTCTCTGGTCTCTCACTGGTCTCTCTGGTCTCTCTCTGGTCTCTCTGGTCTCTCTTTGGTCTCTCTCTCTGGTCTCTCTCTCTGGTCTCTCTCTGGTCTCTCTCTCTGGTCTCTCTCTGGTCTCTCTCTGGTCTCTCTCTGGTCTCTCTCTCTGGTCTTTCCGGTCTCTCTCTGATCTCTCTCAGGTCCCTAACATGGTCTTGGTCCTGGTGCAGAGACCATGTGTGTCATCACTGGTTTAAAAGCCTGTCCCAGAAGAAGAAAGAACACCTTCAATCCACACCAACGTCTATAAACTTTAACAAGTGGCAGTAAAGGGAGCGACTGTGGGTTTAGAGACCTGTGTGTCTCTGTTTCCTCAGCCTGAGGTGTGGAAACATGAGTGTGCATGACAACACAACACACTACACTGCACTGCACACTACACACACTGCACCACAACACACTACACACACTGCACTGCACACTACACAACTCAACACACTCTTGTGTTTCCCTAAATCACAGCAGTATCCGTCAGAGCTGCCCTAAGTCTCTCAGCACCAGTCCCTCTGATCCTCTGCAGGGGGGGTCCACCTCCAGCTTCTCTGTCATCAATTTCTGGCCTTGGTCTCTCAGTGGGTGCTTCGGGCAATGTAGGGTTAAGTGTCTTGCCCAGCGACACAGCAACAGCAGACATCAGTGGGAGCAGGTGACATGGGCCGTGGTGGACTCGAACCCACAACCACTAGGTCCAAAGACCAGCGCTCTACCAACTGAGCTACTGTCGCTTCGGTTCGATACGACACTGATGTGTCTTGAAGATGAGAAGGAGCCATTTATGGCTTTATATGTTAAGAGAAGGATTTTAAATATTTTTCAATCCTCTACAGAAGACACCCAGAGACCCTGAGACCCAGAGACCCAGAGACCCTGAGACCCAGAGACCCAGAGACCCTGAGACCCAGAGACCCAGAGACCCTGAGACCCAGAGACCCAGAGACCCTGAGACCCAGAAACCCTGAGACCCAGAGACCCAGAGACCCTGAGACCCAGAGACCCAGAGACCCTGAGACCCAGAAACCCTGAGACCCAGAGACCCAGAGACCCTGAGACCCAGAAACCCTGAGACCCAGAGACCAAGAGACCCAGAAACCCTAAGACCCAGAGACCCAGAAACCCAGAGACCCTGAGACCCAGAAACCCTGAGACCCAGAGACCCAGAGACCCAGAGACTCAGAGACCCTGAGACCCAGAAACCCTGAGACCCAGACACCCTGAAACCCTGAGACCCAGAGACCCAGAGACCCAGAGACCCAGAGACCCTGAGACCCACAAACCCTGAGACCCAGAGACCCAGAGACCCTGAGACCCAGAGACCCAGAGATCCAGAAACCCTGAGACCCAGAGACCCAGAAACCCTGAGACCCAGAGACCCAGAGACCCAGAAACCCTGAGACCCAGAGACCCAGAAACCCAGAGACCCTGAGACCCTGAGACCCAGAAACCCTGAGACCCAGAGACCCAGAGACCCAGAGACCCAGAGACTCAGAGACCCTGAGACCCAGAAACCCTGAGACCCAGAAACCCTGAGACCCAGAGACCCAGAGACCCAGAGACCCTGAGACCCACAAACCCTGAGACCCAGAGACCCTGAGACCCAGAGACCCAGAGATCCAGAGACCCAGAGACCCAGAGACCCAGAGACCCTGAGACCCTGAGACCCAGAGACGCAGAGACCCAGAGACGCAGAGACCCAGAGACCCAGAGACCCAGAGACCCTGAGACCCAGAAACCCTGAGACCCAGAGACCCTGAGACCCAGAGACCCAGAGACCCAGAGACCCAGAGACCCTGAGACCCAGAGACCCAGAGACGCAGAGACCCAGAGACCCAGAGACCCTGAGACCCAGAAACCCTGAGACCCAGAGACCCAGAGACCCAGCGACCCAGAGACCCAGAGACCCAGAGACCCAGAGACCCTCCTGTAAACCCTCGTCCTCCTGGTGTCAAAGTGTTTCAATAGTTTTAAAGTCTTTAGAACATGTCACAGACGTTAAACCTTCAGACTTTCCCACTTCCTGCTGAACAGAAATCTCGGAGCTGAATGAAGGCTTTGAGCCGCAGCGGCGTGTGGCGAGCGGCGAGCGGTGAGCGGAGGCCGAGCGGATGTGAATAATGAAAGAGAGAATCTTTTAAAGCTTTATGACATTCCTGAGTGGAAGGAGCTGTGTTTGATGGTCCGGGGTCTCTGATGTTCCACAGGGCTCCCCAAAAGCCACTTTCATAGAGAGACTGGCCCATAAAGGCACCCAGAGCACCTGACACCCCCTCCCCCCCAGCCGGCCTGCCCCCCCCCTCGTGGCCGGCCCGCTGCCCGCCGCCTGGACCATAAACCATGTGTGACCCAGGAGCCCAGAGAGTCGTAAAGTCAGGATAATGCAACACAGACGTTAGTTTCTGTCGCTCTGAGAGACTTCTGTCATTTACATCTGACATTATTATTATACACCCCCACCCCTTCTGCATCACTGCCCTGTTCTACAACTTTATATCACTAGTTATATGTCAAGTCCTCAACCCAGAGCCATGTTTCCACCAGCCCCACCCTACCCCACCCTACTCTACTCTACCCTACTCTACTCTACTCTACTCTACTCTACTCTACCCTACCCTACTCTACTCTACTCTACCCTACTCTACTCTACCCTACTCTATTCTACTCTACCCTACCCTACCCTACTCTACACTACCCTACCCTACCCTACTCTACTCTACCCTACCCTACTCTACCCTACTCTACTCTACCCTACTCTACTCTACTCTACCCTACTCTACTCTACCCTACTCTATTCTACTCTACCCTACCCTACCCTACCCTACTCTACTCTACACTACCCTACCCTACCCTACTCTACTCTACCCTACCCTACTCTACCCTACTCTACTCTACCCTACCCTACCCTACTCTACCCTACCCTACTCTACTCTACTCTACCCTACTCTACTCTACCCTACCCTACCCTACTCTACCCCACCCTACCCTACTCTACTCTACCCTACCCTACTCTACCCTACTCTACCCTACCCTACCCTACTCTACCCTACCATACTCTACCCCACACTCTACCCTACCCTACTCTACCCTACTCTACTCTACTCTACTCTACCCTACCCTACCCTACCCTACTCTACTCTACTCTACTCTACTCTACTCTACCTTATCCTACTCTACCCCACCCTACTACCCTACTCTACTCTACTCTACTCTACTCTACTCTACCCTACCCTACCCTACCCTACTCTACCCCACCCTACTCTACCCTACTCTACTCTACTCTACCCTACCCTACTCTACCCCACCCTAATCTACTCTACCCTACTCTACCCTACCCTACTCTACCCCACACTCTACCCTACCCTACCCTACTCTACCCTACTCTACTCTACCCTACTCTACCCTACCCTACTCTACCCTACTCTACTCTACCCTACTCTACTCTACTCTACTCTACTACTCTACTCTACCCTACCCTACTCTACTCTACTCTACTCTACCCTACCCTACCCTACTCTACCCCACCCTACTCTACTCTACTCTACTCCACCTGGTTGTGTTTCCATTATGCTCTTTGTATCTGGTACCGTATCCCAGTAACCTACCCACAACAAACCAGTCTCTGTGTAAATTCCTTGGTAACCATGGCTTCCAGCAGCACTGTGTCCCTTGTCAGTTAGAACACATTAGGACCAGCTCGGCCTGGACAGAACCAGGACCAAGAGGGACTAAAGAAGGACCTGGTTCTGGTTACACAGAACCAGGAAACACTCCCAATCAGGAGAGAGTAGAGTAGAGTAGGGTAGAGTAGAGTAGAGTAGAGTAGATTAGAGTAGAGTAGAGTAGAGTAGAGTAGAGTAGAGTAGAGTAGAGTAGAGTAGAGTAGGGTAGGGTAGAGTAGGGTAGGGTAGAGTAGAGTAGGGTAGGGTAGAGTAGAGTAGAGTAGGGTAGGGTAGGGTAGGGTAGAGTAGGGTAGAGTAGAGTAGAGTAGAGTAGAGTAGGGTAGGGTAGTAGAGTAGAGTAGGGTAGAGTAG